TTCGGGTTCAGGGTTTCGGGCTTAGGGTTTAGGAGCACTGCCCGGCTAAGCTCGACGGATGAACAAAATCCCAAGCGTGCATGGGCAGAAATATGTGTGTATATTCATTCAGGTTGGAAAATTTACTTCCAGACACACACACACACATCTATATCTATATCCGTGTAAACATATACATGTATACATGTACATATGCATATGCACATGCATATGCATGGATGGATGGCTGAATGGCTTGATAGTTGGATGTTCGGGTGGTTGGATGGTTGGGTGGTTGGGTGATTGGGTGGTCACTGTCAGGACAGTGGAAGCTTTAAAAACGAGAAAACGATGCGTGTATTGATGACCGCCGAACTTGTGAAGCTCGTCTTCAACGACCAATCCAAAGTCAGGGAATGGCATCCACACATGCGACACATTAGGACCAGGGCTGCAAGGTGTTGCCCGAAGGCCAAATTACAGACAGGCTTCGCTACTTCTATGTCAGGTGTTTCAGGGTTACTGAATCTAGAATTGCGGTTAGTGGGCCGAAACCCCAAAGCCCCCCCAACCCTGATTCAACCCGTGTCGCCTGACAGCTAGGTGCCCCACATTGACACCTTGCACCCCCAGTGTGGGGAAATGTCGCCGGACGGCCTGCACAAGAAAAAACCGAATTGTTTCAATGCTTGAAACTTAATTCTTGTTCTCGGTACTTTAAGACCAAGGTGAAGAAGCACGCTAGGTACATGCAGATTATCCGCAAGTGAACTTCAAGCTAGCCCCTGACTGCTAGATGTGCAGGTCCGGTAGCCCAGAGGCCGACGCCGCATAACATTTCTTCAACTTTTCCGTTTTCCGACTAGGTGCAAAGATTCAGGATGAGAAACTTGAGTTCGTGTGTTGAAGTGTCAAGGTCCACTGCACTAAAACCAAACCCTTGCTCTCACCCCAAACCCTAAACCCAAAGCCCTGCTCACCACAAGCACCCCAGAAAGACACAGCCAAGCCCACAACTCCAAAATGCCAAGAAGGTCAAATCTTCGGGCTTGGAGGAAGGGGACGCCCGATCCAAGGGACCCGACGGGCCTCTTCAAAAGTTTTCCTCGGCTCGGAGACGGAGCTTCGGATTTCAGGGCCGTTCTAGGACCTGCTCTGCTTCACAAGATTGCGACGTACCTGAGTATAGCCGGAGGGTGAAAGGGTGCCAGTTTCATCTGTCGTGCAAAGACTTCCAGGTATCAGAGGCGAAAGCTCGAATTCTTTGTTTTTAGATGCTTGAGGGGAAATCACATCACATGCAGCATCGCTGACGCCAGAACGGACAGGTGGTGCTGGCAGCAGCTGTGGCAGCAGTGGTGGTGGAGGTGGTGTGTTGATGATGCCGTCTTTGATATGTCAGCAGCCACATTGCCACTACCATCTTCATTATCAACTTCTGCTGCATGCCCATGAACATCACCATTGCCATCACCAACGTCATAGTCACTACCATCTTATTCATCATCGTCTGCTTAATCATGCTCACCATCATCGTCATCATCCTCATCACTACGATCATCATCGTCGACAACATCACCTCTTCTGTCTTCATCATCACCATTATCATCATCGCCATCATGATCCTGATCATCATCATCATCATCATCGCCATCATCACCATCACCGTCATCATCACCACCACCATCATCATCGTCATCACCATCATCATCATCACCACCATCATCATTGTCATCACCATCAGCAGCAGTGTCACCATCACCACAATCATCATCAACATAATCATCGTCATCATCACTATCATCATCATCGCCATCATGATCATGATCTTCTTTTCTTGATCATCATCGTCATCATCATCATCCTCATTAGATCATCGGTCTCACTCACTCGTATCAAGACCGGCACTTCTAGTGTCTTTGCTCTGAGGAGCGTCTTCATACTCGTCGGATCCCACTGTCAGCAATCATCGCGCACAGCTGACCCGACTATTTCCCGGCCCATCATATGCGACCTCGTGATCTGGGATTTCCATGCCAGGGACACTCAGAACCTAGTTACTCTACTGCGAAAACCCTTGATTCTTGATGGAACCCTAAACCCTAAACCCTAAACCGGCCCAAACCCTAAACCCTGAAACTTGCAATGGAACCAGGTGCCTTGGCCAAGCATCCCACAGTCCACGAGGAGGTGCTGGTCTGCTGGGGACGACTTGATGGTAACCAGCAGGCCTGTAGTCCCAGAGGTGGATCCCAAAAATTGCTATGTACCTATATAGTAGAATGTAGGTTTTCTGTTTTAAATACTACTACCCCCCTAAACCGTATTGTACTGTTGAGGGGGGGGGGACTTCTCTAAAGCATAACTATTCGTCCCAATGTGTAGGGACCCTACGTTCTACTATA